TACTGTGCCAGGTGCTGGAGACGTACTTCCCATCCCCTGGGGGGAAGAGGGGCGAGATGGGGAGTTTGGAAGGGGGAGGGGAAGATTTGTGATAGTGTTCAGGAGGAGGTGACAGTGCTTAGCTTGAATTGGATCAGGGGACGAAGGAAAAACTGTGAAGCAGGCAGAGGGAGACTGTGCTGAAGGGTTGGGGCCTGTTCCAGGCACCTGTTGCTCTGTAACCAGCTACCCCAAACTTAGTGGCTTCAAACAACCACCGTTTCATTTATTGCATGATTCTGTGGGTCAGGAATTTGGGCCATGCTCAGCTGGGCAATTCTTTGCCCCACATTGTAACAACTGAGGTCACTTGGTGGAAGTCAGCTGAGGGATGGGCTGGTCCGGAGGGTCCAAGATTGCTTCGCTCGTTCAACTGCCACCTTAACAGGGTTGTTGGAAGACTGTGCTGAGCTGGGACTGCCAACTGCGTGTGGCCTCCCCAGCATGGCAGTCTCAGGTTTCTTACATGGCAGCTGAAGGCTCCCAAGAGACCCAGGACACTGGCTCAGCTTGTCAGACTTGGCTTTGGAAGTCTCAGAGTGTCACTTCCTCCCCATCCTGGTGGTAGGCAAGTCACTAAGACCAGCCCAGATTTAGGGAGAGGGACTTAGACTCATCTCTCGGGGGGATAAGTAATGGGAATCTGTGGCCATCTTTATTTTACCATACTGCATTCCTTGATAGGAGAGACGCTGTGGGACTTGAAGTGGAGATGGCCGAATGGGATGGTGGGTGCCTGACACATGACCAAGGGTACTTTTAGATTTGCAGGCAAAGATCAAACCATAGTGGATTGAAGATTCAATAAGTGTCAGAAGTGTACGGATAGCTGGTGGTGTACTCTTCCAAGATTCTTGAAGGCTGTGAGAAGCAGATGGGAATGGAGATGAGATCAGAGTAGGACTGACGGTGGGAGGGGTTTGCTTATTTTTTTTTAAGATTTTTATTGGGGAATTGGGGGAAGGGGAACAGAGAAGTCGCTCTCCTTTTTGTTCTTCAATCTAGTTGTGGAGGACGTTACTTCACTGGCCCAAGTCGGCACCGTCACTGCGCTCTTCCCGGGAGAGGTAGATCAGTCGCCGGCCTCTGGACGGCCGCTCACAGCGGCTGCTGGCGACACACGGTAACCCATGGCAACCCACTGCAGCTTCACTGCACCTACACCATTGCCAGCGACCTCTCGCAGCCCAGCTCCAGGTTGAGCTGTTGTTCAGCATCTTAGCTGTGGAGGGCAGTGTCACTGGCCCTCATATGTGGGATCCGAACCGGGGCCCTCTGGCATCCCAAGCCAGCTCTTAACTATTGCGCCACTTGGCCGGCCCGGGTTTGCTTATTTTTAACACTTTGTAAGCGGGCATTTTTCTCTATGTGACGAGTTTACTCGTTTCCCGCAAACAATGTGTTAACTTCGCATGTTTGCTTGGAAGATGGGTGAGGTGACCAATGACCTGATCTTTTTCAAATCATATTTGTGCATTTTTGCTCTGCTAACTAATTGAACACTGTTGAAGTTCTCTCTTGTCTTTGGTGATACAACTTTCTCCTGCTCCTGGTCCTTCTGCCTATGACAAAGAAGGGGCTATTTCTTTATATGGTTGTATGGCCCAGAATTTGTCCTTCTTTCTTTTTTTTTTTTAAGCTGAGCCATCCTGCCACCTGTTGGCAGCTCAGCGGCAGCTCAGCTCAGGCCGGGAATAGAACCACTGTTGCTCAGAGCTCACACTCTTGAGCGAGCTCTTAACCAACTGAGCCACTTGGCCGGTCCTGTCCTTACCTTCTTTACTTCTTTATTTTGCTCCTTTTTCTTGAGTGACCTCACCTAGTCTCATGATGTTGCCTGCCATTTGGATGGTGAAGGCCCCCACGTCTGTCACTTCTCTTGCCTCCTATGTGTCTTCCCCTGGCTGTCCCTGTAATTCCCATTCCTCATCTTGGTGACGCCCTCACCCTAGCCTAGACCAGAGGCCTGTGTGACATTCCCTTTCTCTGTCCTCGCTCTGTGTAGCCAAACAGGTCACCAAGTACTTTTTTTTTTTTTTTTTGCCTTTAAAACTTTAAAAGTAAGCATCATCTGTGGACATTTTGAAATGTGCGCCCCAGAGCCCTGTTCCAGAACTACTGAATCAGAATCTCCTGAGACTTAGGCGTGCCTGTGTTTATCAAGTTCCCTGATGATTCTGATGTTCTGAGCATTGAAAACAACTCTAAAAATTTTCTCTAGTCCTCCTGCCCATTTCCCCCATCACTGCTTTGGTTTAGGCTTTTAGAGTTTCCTGTAACTACCGCAACACATTACCACCAACATGGTGGCTTAAAATAATAATCTATTCTCTCACTGTTCTGGAGGCCTCATGCCTGGAAACGAGGTGTCGAGGTGTCGGCAGGGCCATGCTGCCCCTGGAGGAGACTTCCTCACCTCTTTCTGCTGCTTATGGCTCTAGGCATTCTTTGGCTTGTGATTGCCAACTCCAGTCTCAGCCTCCATCTTCACACAGGTCTCTGCTCCCTCTCCCTGTGTGTCTCATCTCTCCACCGTGTCTCTTATAAAGACACTTGTCATTGGGTTTAGGGGCCACCAGTAATCCAGGGTTATCTCATTTCAAATCCTTAGTTTAACTATCTGTGAAAAGACCCTTTTCCCCAATAAGGTCACATTCACAGGCTCTGGGACATGGACATATCTCTTTGGAGGCCACCATTCAATCTGCCGTACTCCTGCCATGGTTGTGCTAGTTCTCCCGTCTGATCGTCTGTCCTGCGCTGTGCTGCAGTTTCTTTATACAGCAACTGTTTGAATAATGTCATTTTGTTCAGCATCGTTTCCTTATAACATTGGTGAGATACCATAGGAACTTAACTCTGTGTATGCCAATTAGCATGAACTAAAATTGGTTTCATTATACATTGTTTAGCTTCAAGTCACAGAACATATAGACGACATCACGTGAGGACTTTGTATGTATCCAATAGTATTAGTCCTTAAGTCTGGCCAAGTTTCCCTTTCCCCTTAGGGTAAGCCATGCCCCTATCATGGAGTACCAGGCTGTTGTCATCTGCCCCGTGCTTACCTGTTAACCCTCATTTCCCTCGTTTCTCCTCTTGAACTTTATGCTCTTTGGTACAGAGCTACCTGCAGTCCTCCTTGCCCTGTACTCCCCATTGAGTCTGGTTCAGATTTCAAGGCAGTTCAAGCAGCGTCTCCTCCACGAAGCCTTGCCTGATGCCTCTGCTCATGTGCTTTGTGCTACCAGTGCTACAAGCGACCGGTGCACTTATAGAAGTGTTTTGTCACACTCGTGTTTGTGCCTTTCTCTCCTTTTAACAGAGAGCTCTGTGAAGATAGGGAAGCTGATATTCATCGTTGTAGCCCTAGGACTTGGTGTGGTAAGGCGTCGTAAATATTAAATGAATGGCCCCGTAGCTTAATCCAATTAGAAACTTGTCTCATGGTAACACTGGTTTTTCCACTGTTACCTTGATTATTTCCAATAGGATTTTTCACTGCTCATCAACTGGATGTATTAAGTAAGTAGCCATTGTAAGTAGCCTGGCATATTATTTGCTTAACCTGCAATATCTGTGCATTGATGCTCAGACAATTTTAATTAAAATGTTTCTGCATGTTAAGATTGACATTTCTGGTTTTTGTGTTTCTCCCTTTATATTAGATATGGCTTTGGGGTTGTAAGTGGCAGAAACCAACTTGAGTTAGCTGAAACTAAAAGGCATTTCATGATCAAGGGTCGGAATACAAGGGCCCATGGAAGGCTGTAAGGACCATTTCCCTGTTCATCTCTCTTTGCTGCTTGTCATGGTTCATCTGCTTCATTCCTCACTCTCTCCACTTCTTCATCCACATAACAGATTGTGACATCCCCACAGCCCCTGTGATTGCATTTTACAGCTCTAGCCATCCACAGAATGGCTGGTTATCTCTCCATCCCATTTGTTTGTTTGTTTGTTTTTTCTGGGAGAAGAATGTCATTGGCCAGCTTGGGCCCTGGAGCTGTCTGTTTGTTCATGTAAATTTTTAATGACTCCCTGCCCTTCTTTCCGTTCTCTTCTTGAGAAGGATTGCCAAAGGAGAGTTGGGAAATAGTCATGTCAGTGTGTCAGCGTGCGACAGTGGTCAGAACATACAGGAACTGGTTAATCCAGAGTTAGGAAATAGCTGGAAACTGAAATGCTAACTGCAGTCTTGCATTTTTTTGAACACTGGTGTTAGCTTAAGGTATTAATACAAGAACTCTGCTTAAGGATATTATCTGTTTTCAGGTGACTTTTAAAGTTGACAGTTTGTGGACTAAAACTCATCTTTTTTACCTGTGGGCCATTTTATGGGCAACCTTCTTGTAGAGTCATATTTTATGTTTTTATTTTATAGTGTAGACTCAATTTTTGCAAGCTATGTTTTGCTAACCCGCCAGTGTAAGGTTCAAATAGAAATGGGAATGAGTGTAGAGAATTCAGAACTTTTAAGAATGCATGTGACGAAATTTGGTCTTCTTACAAATAAAGGTCCTATAGACATTAATATGATTTGAGAATGAGACATGAGATTTAATTAGCATGCTATTTTCTAACTAGTTCATTTAAGAATATTTCTTGAGTGTTTCTCTGGGGTCCATTAGAATGATGCTTGTTGACTTGATCCAGCAGTAATACGGCCTCTGCAGAATTCTCATGTACTTAATATACTCTGTCTCTTTCCAGAAAGATTTGGAGAGTCTGACTTTATAGAATAGGAAAACTATAATCACATTGTACATTACTCTTAAATTAAGTTTCTGGAAGTGATTTGTGTTTCATTATCGCGGAAGTCTGCTTTGCAGCTCTTTTGTGGGATGTTTAGTGGGCCATTTTTTATGACCATTACTGTCTTTTCCCTTATTCCATCTGCCTTTTCTTCTGAAAACTTTTAAAGTCTGCAAATAAGTGAACTCTTCCATCTCACTTTGTAGGTACAATGGTGCTTTACCTAACGGAGACCGAGGCCGGAGGAAAAGCAGATTTGCTCTCTATAAACGGTCCAAGGCCAGTGGAGTCAGACCCAGCACGGTCCACGTGATCTCCACGCCGCAGGCATCCAAGGTACGTGGCTCCTGCGGTTGGGAGGGCCTGGGCAGACAGTGACTCACCGTGATTCCTTGTCGTTCTTTGTCCTTCCAGTATTTCTCTGAGACCAGGTAATTCTTGGTTGTGAAGGGCTGTCCTGTACAATATTGTAGGATATTGGGCAGCATCCCTTGATGCACTAATGCCGCTAGCACATCAGTCCACCCCCCCCTCAACTGCCATGGCCATTGTGACAACCAAATATGTCCCCTGGAGGATGGGGTGAGCAAACCCCTTCTCTCCAGCTCATTATAAACCAGTGTTTTAGGTTATAGTGAAACCAGCATATAGCAATTTAGAATGGTTGTGGTTGAAAGATAAATGTTCTTTATCCTAAAGTGTTTTTTTAATTAAATCTTGGTATAAACCTCATTAAGATTTGTTTTCCTTCTGTTAAATGAGTGTGGGTATTTTTACATGATGTGCATGTACATGGAATTGAATTCGTGTATTTATTAAAAAGATTGGAAGTAAACAGCTAAGTGCTATAAGAAGTCTACTATTCAAATTTCCTCATAAGTTTCGAGTGAATAAAATCTTAATTTTTTTTTATTTCATATGTTCTCTGATATATATGTGGAGGGAAAATCTGTTTCCATTTTGGTTGATATAGTCTACCTGGGAGATTTATGATAATGTTCCTTTTGATTAAATAAATTCTTTAATATATAATATAGTTTCCTTTTCTATAAAACAATTATATTTACCTGAAGTATTTCATATGGGGCACTAGATGTACATGCTTATCATCACGGGCTTGGACCATCTGGAATAAATAAGAGACTTGATTCTCGTTTTTACTGAAAACCCATGTTCAAAGAGAAATGAATGGCTTCATGGAAGCACATGTATTTATACTCAGCCTTAGAAACAAATCACCTTTGGTAATGTTTTTATTTAAAAATAAAGCTCCTGTTGTTGCTTCTGAAGCAGTACATGGGGAAAGTTTGCTAGAATGTACCAATACAGAGAACATTTTGATGGTTGCCAGATGGGAAGGAGTTCGGGAGGCGGGGGGGAGTGAAAAAGGGGAAGGGATTAAGAACTACAAATTGGTTGTTACACAGTAGTCATGGGGATGTAGGGTATAGCATAAGGAATATAGTCAGTAATATTGTAATACGTATGTATGGTGTTAGATGGGTCAGGGTGGTGCGTGGGGTGTTGCGAGGCAGGGTGAAAATGGTGAAGAGACTAAGAAGTACAAATTGGTAGTTACAAAATAGTCATATAAATGTCTGACCAGTATGCTGTATACCTCAAATTAATATAAAATAATATTGAATGTCAACTGTAATTGAAAAATTAATAAGGGGGGGGAAGGTGAAAGGGAATAAGAGGTTCAAATTTCCGGGCATATAAAACAAATAAATCATGGGGATAAAGTCAATAATATTGTGATAGTGTGAAACGGTGTCAGATGGTTAGTGATCACTTCTTTAGGTATATAAATGTTGAATAACTAATGGTGTACACCTGAAACTAATACAATGTTGTACGTTTGCTATATTTTAATAAAAATCTTTAAAAAAGATTGTCTTGTATTAATGAGAGATTATTAGACAAGAAAATATCAAATACCAAGGAAACAAGGAAGGAAAGATTAATATTTAGTGGCACGGTTTTCGGCTAGAGAAAGGGAAATAGAGTAAAAGTTTTAGGGAGGGAAGGACACTTTGTAGGGAAAACAAAGGAAACCAGCCTTACAAAGATTCTGAGAAATGGAGGAAATGAATAGCAACAGATTCTTGGAAGGCCCAGGAAATATGAGAAATATTTCATGGTCCAAAAATATTTGGTGAAGATTGGTACCAAGACAAATGTTTTTATTTTATTTTATTTTTTTTTAGCTGAGCCATCCTGCCACCTGTTGGCAGCTCAGCGACTGCTCAGCTCGGGCTGACTCGAACCGCTGTTGCTTAGAGCTCAAACTCTTGAGTGAGCTCTTAACCAACTGAGCCACTCAGCCGGCCCAAGACAAATGTTTTTAAACCTGGGATGAGTGCCAAAAATCTTCTGATAGTATAGATGTGGTGCTTATAATTTTGTTTATTTGTTGACATTTATCTTTCCTTTCTCTGGTTCTGTACCTGTTTATTACAGTTAACCCTTTTTTTAATCTCAGATTTTATATTAATACAATGGATTAAGATATTTAAAAAAATTTTTTAGAAATCTTGGATTACTCAGGCTTCATATTATTCATATTGGAATATCAGTGGCCCTTTCTTATTCATGACTTATCTACATCTACTCTGGTTTTAGCCTTTTATGTTTTACCTTTATATCTACATTGTACCTGAAGTTGTTTAAGATTATAAATCTGTTGGTAGTTGTCTTTCTAAATCTGTGTTTCAAACTGTCACCCACAGTACTAGTAGTAGGGCAAATTGGGTTTTGATCTTGATCCTCTCATCTTGCAACCTGAGAAAAATATATCCTCAGGGCCTCAGATTCCTCATTTACAAAATGAATGAGTTGGCTTACAGGAGCCATATTGGATCAGATAAGATACTTTGGTTATAAGCAACACAAATGATCCTGGCTTCAAAAAAAAAAAAAAAAGCAAAAATGGAGAAATTATTAAAGGATAGGGGAGGAGCAGCTCTCAGAATTGGGGAAAAAGTTGAGTAAGTTTTGTGAGAGAGAACCAGAGTATCAGTAGGTGTTAACATGGATATTCTTTCAAGAGTGTTATAAAGTGCCTTGGCTCCAGCTACCTTCTAGCTCTTCTACAGGTTTTAAATTTTCAGGAAAGAGAATCTGATAGGCCTTGCTGGGGTCAGCCAGCCATGACCAAGAGAGATGAGTAGACCAGACATATTTATTGTGAGCTGATCAACTACCCCATATTACATTTCCATCATGTATCTTATTCATCTTCGTACCTGTAGGTTGAGGGCCATCCTACCTGAACCTAGCACCTTCGTCATAAATCCCTCACTTCTGTTCCATTTCAAACTCTCATCCCTGATCAGCTTTGCCTAGCCACTCCTGCTGTCACCTGCTCTATTGGTCCCCTAGCCAAAATCTTGTATATATTTAACTTTTTTAAAAAATGCTCTACTGCCTCACTTTAACTGAATCCTGATTTTTATCAATATACTCTTTTTATTCTTTCTTCCATCTCTTCCCGTTCATGGAACTGGAAATTATTTCATTCTGTTTCCATTTTAGTGTCCTCATTTTACCCCTACACTATTAACTTAGGCTGCCTCTTCCCCTACTTCTCCTGACCTCACTGACCTACAGTTCAGTCTTCTGCATGTTTTCATGACTCAACACCTGGCCCAATCTCTGTTTCTCCCCAACCCCTATTAAACCGTACACTAGCATCCATGGTTTAGAGTGCTTTAGCTTTTTCAGTATTAGAGACTCACTTCCATTCCACTGTTCCTGCTGATACAGTGGACCTTATAAGCCCATTGTCACTTGAAAGTGACCATAGTCTTCAGTTCATTCTACTCATGCATACATGTATTTTCTTATCTCATCAGGATATCTGGCCCTTTGGCCTGTCTTTATTTATCACATTTGTTAGCCCACTTGACTTTTCCATTTATGTTGCCTTCACCCCAGATTCCCTTTATCTGGGACCTTTCAGCACCCGCTTTTTGTGAGTCCCTGGCTCTGGGTCCTTCCCAGGCCCTGCTGGACTGCTTTTCTTGTCTTCCTACCTGCTCAGTCCATTTCCCATCAGGGTGCCCGGGTATGTGGTGGTACTTGGAAAAAGCTGTTCGGTCCCTATCAACAGTGGTTGGTCCACTCTGAAAGTTCTGATTCTGCAGTGTTGGTAATGAAAGGGTCATTTTTGATTGGCGTTGTAAAAGTGAGAGCTATAATAGACAGGTGGATGTGCTTACCGTTGTGGGAATTTGAGCACTTGGCCTTTTGACTGTGTTGTTTCTTCCTTTTGCTGTAATCATTTCCTCTGCCCCACAGCCTGGGGGCAGAACAGGGAGCACCCCTTTGCTGATGGTAGTGGCAGCTGGGGAGTGGGACTTCTTAGTCAGCCATGCATGCCGATGTCCAAGCTAAGTCAGAAGCGGATGGCAAGTATGTGCTCCTGTTGTGTAATCGCTATTTGTGTAATTGCTATTTGTGTAATCTTTTGTTGTGTACATATTTGCTCTTGGAATAGTAATACTCAAAGATATTTCTCCTATTATATAATATGTTTAAAAAAAACCCTTAAGCCCTGTTTTACTTTTGGCAGTTCTGTTATACAGACATAAGGTATTTAGCAATTTATTCATCCTTTCATTTACTCAACAAATATTTATCTAGGACTTTCTATGGCCAAGCATCATGTCAGGTATTGGATATACTACAGTCAACAAAACATGCCTGCATGGAGCTAATTGTCTAGCGAGTAGGCAAACAGTAAGTAATCATGTGAATACATATTTAACTGCACGTTGTGAGAACGTGCAGTGATGGAAAAGAATAGGGTGCTGTGAGAAAAGGGGCCTCAGAGTGAAGACTGGATAGACAGGGAAGAGTCTCTGAGGAAGTGGCTTGTGAGCTAAAAGCTGAAGGGTAAGGAAGCATTAGCCAGGCGAGCAGACTGACCTAGAGCCCTGTGGGTCTGGTTGGAGAATTCGGATTTTTTTCTAAGGGGGAAACATTGACACATTTTAATCAGAGGGAGTGGCATGATATGACTGAGAGTTTAAGTGGATTTTGTTTGTTCATTTACTTTTTCATGATACGAGGCGACTGCTTTGCTCTCAATCAGTAAATAGCATGATGATGGTGGTGGTGGAGATGGTGCCTGGTAGGTGAATATTTTGCCAGCAATGTGGTTCAAATTTAGCAACATTACTGTGGGAAGCTCTTCATCATGGTTTTCCCTTCTTAGATTGTGCTTTATGGAAATCTTTTTTTTTTTGTTATTTATACTTTAAAAAAGTAACTGAATATCACTTGGTTCCAGTTGGCATATTTCAGAATGGAAAATATCAGGGGTCTTTGAG